AGAAGGATACCCCAAATGTTCTTATGGTACAAGGGGGTAACAAGTTTAAGAAACAAGGTAAGAACAAAGGAAAGGGTAAGCCAGGCTGGACTGCGAATTCAAGCAAGCTTGATCCTTCTCCTAAGTTTAAGCCTGGTCCTTCTAATGTTGATAAGTGCCATTATTGTAATGGTTCTGGACATTGGAAAAGAAACTGCGAAAAATACTTGGAAGATCTGAAAAAGAAGAAGATTTCTGAAACGTCATCTTCAGGTATTTATGTTATAAAAGTAAATGTTACTATTTCTGATTCTATTTCTTTGGTATTTGATACCAGTTGTGGTACTCATATTTGTGGAAATATGCAGGGCCTAAAGAACAATAGAGTCTTGGAGAAAGGACAAGTGAACCTTCGCGTGGAAAATGAAGCAAGAGTTGCTCCATTAGTTGTAGGAATTTTTCATTTGTTTTTGTCTTCTTGCATGGTTTTGGAAACTAAGAATTGCTACTATGTACCTGCTTTAAGCATAATATTATTCAATTATTTGGATTTGAAAGAATTTCATATTTTTGATTAAAAGACAAGTGTTGTTTATTTGATCATTGTGATTTCTTTTTTAGTAGAGGTCTATTAAAGAATGGACTTTATATTCTAAGCCAAAGCGTGCATGTTTATAACATTAATACCAAAAGTTTCAAGTCTTATGACTCAAATCAAGTTTTTCTTTAACATTGTCGTTTGGACCACATAAATGAGAAGCACATCAAAACTTTCATGGTGATGGACTTTTGAGCTCATTTGATTATGAATCATTTGAGAAATGTGAATCTTGATTATTGGGTAAAATGACTAAGGCCTTTCTTACTGGACATAGTAAAAGAGATAAAAGACTTGTTGGAACTTATACATACTGATGTATGTGGACCAATGAGTATAAATGTTAAAGGAAACTATCAGTACTTCATGGTTATGTTTATCTAGAAACATAAATCTGAATCTTTTGAAAAGTTCAAAGATTTTCAAGATAAAGTACAAAATAAACTTGATAAGAAATTTAAAGCTCTTCGATCCGNTCTTGGAATAAGAATCTATAAAGATAGATTAAGTCTGTTGAATTATGTAAAGCTACTTATATCGATAAGGTCTTGCATATATTCAAAATGCGTGATTCCAAGAAGGGCTTCTTGCCAATATCTCATGGCATAACTCTTAGCAAGAATCAGTGTCCTTCAAAACATGATGAGCGAGAGCGGATGAGCAGAATCCCATATGTTTTGGATATAGGATCTATCATGTATGCCATGACGAGTCGATACCAATCTGTTCCAGGTGAAAGTCACTGGACAATAGTCAAGACTATCCTCAAGTATTTAAGAAATACTGAAGATAAATTCTTGATCTATGGAAGAAGTGATGAACTTGTTGTGAGTGGTTACACTAATTCCAGCTTTCAGACGGAAAAAGATGGTTTCCGATCACAGTCTGGTTTCATCTTTTGTCTTAATGCAAGAGCATTGAGCTGGAAAGGTTCCAAGAAAAGTACCGTAGAAGAGTCTCAACGGATGCAAATGTTGCTGATCCATTGACCAAGCCTCTTCCATAGCCTAAGAATGAGAGTCATGCTGCAGTTGTGGTCATTAAGTATATTAAGATGTGATCTTGATTTTAGTGGGAGATTTTACGTTTATGATATGATGTTCATATTGACATACATTTGATTATGTATTCAAACTAATGAAATTGTTTCAGGTTTATTTTATTATTAGATAATTAAAATAAATGTCCCAAAATAATTTATATCATTCTTATAAGTCATCAAGTACGTGACTTGATCATGAAACCTTATAAGTGAAAGATGGTATAAATTATTGAGGTCCCTAGTCAAGGTTATTAACATGGGGCATTAATAACCGAGAATGACTAGTATGTGAGGTAATTGATGACTAAGTTTCATGGAGTCATTCAATATGATGTATTGAAGTCAATCACATGGATATGTGTTAGAGAACACATGATCGGGCTGACCCACTAATGAGAACTCTGCAAGATTGTTATATGAGTGTCATAAGAGTTTCTCATTACGACTATAGAGTATAGTCCTTAGACCTGAGTTCGTCATGCTTCTTTACTTGTGGATTAGTTCACTTTGACCTTGTCAAACGTCAGCCGTNTAGGTGTTCTATGAAGTTTGTAAGGAGCAGGGATGGAACAAGATGGGATTTGTCCCTCCCATATAACGGGAGATAAATATCTCAAGGCCTATCGAAGATTTGATACTGAAAAATGCATGGCCGTGCTCAAACGAGGTGAATGTCAGTCGTTTGTTTGATCAGTATAAATCAGAGTTCGATAAATGTGATCTAGCTTAATCAGGATGACACTAGCTCTTGCCTTATGTTGAGATCGAGATATAGAGACAAAGGGATTATGAGAATATATGATTCTAGTACAAGTGGGAGATTGTTGGGAATGTCCTAAAATCATTTGTACTTACTCTAGTAGAAGTCGTAACGTCGAGGTTCGACAATCGTATAAAATTAGGTGGTTATAATGTTTTGCTAGAAACCGCTTATAATCTATGAATTATGAATTCATTACTAATTTTATATGATCCTATAGGGTCACACACCTAAACAAACTAGATCAAATTATAATTAAGTTTAATTAGATTAAACTAATGTTAGAGTTAGTGGTGGATTTTATGTTTTTCTATTTATAAGATAAATAGAAACAATGTATATTGTATATGGATTAGGAATCCATCACGTAACATATCAAAAAAAAAAAGGCCCATTACTAATAATGATTATTAGGGCTAAGATATGTGTCGTGTGTACATGTATAAAAAGATACATATGATTTGGGAAATCGATATATGAAACAGCCACCATCTAAACCCTAATATACATAGACAAAAGGTTTGTCAAGCTTCAGAGATTTGATCTTGACGGCACTAGCATCCCGTTTCGATCTAGTTTGTGTGCGTGTGGATACCGATAGAGGCACGACGTTTGGAGTGCTAGGAATCTCGACTTGGTCTATTCATCTTTCCGCTGCAGAATAACCAGGTATATTCGAAGAACCTAAAGATCTAGATTATTTCAGTATTGGCATGAGATTCTAGGCAAATAGAATTCATAAGTTGATTTATAAAACGTTATAAACCGGTATGAATTCCTACACATTCCATTAGGCAACTTCCCTTCTCTATTAACTTGCAAACTACTTAAGCTCTCAAAGCTACACAACTTCACAATCCCTCTCACTTCCTCTTCTCCAACAAAACCACATCCCAAGAACTCAGCTATTCTCTTGATTGTATCTCCGGTCTCCTTCTTCAGCTCCTCATAAGTAACAAACAAGACCTTGTTCGGATTCTCGAGGCTCGCATACCAATACTTTAACACATGATCCCAAAAGGGTCCACCTATAAACTTCCCTTCACAAAACGCTTCAACCGCTTTTTCAATAGGATAATCAGCGGTTTCTTCAGGAGCAAGTTTCTTTCCAAAATGCCATAAGGACACAAACATGTCCTTAGGGTTCCTACAACAGTACACAATCTTACAAGAAGAGCTCTTAACAGACTCGGGTAAGGAAAGAAGCGGTATGTGCGTGTTCATGAGTCTTGGAGAGGGCAACTTGGAGAAATCAAAATCTGGAGATTCATAGTAAACTCCTTCCATGAATGGCACGAGAAGGTGCGGATTGGTAACAAGAACTCAAGAAGAGGATGATTACCACCAGCATAGACTGGAAACTTGTGTCGGTTAATGAGAGCAAAGACAAGAGCTTTTAATCAAGTGGTACCTGATTTAGGATTGGTTACGAGGATAATGTCGGAATCTTTGGCCTCGAAGTGTTTTTGACACACCAAGAGTCCTTGTAACAGAGCTTGTGTGTGTCAACGTCCTTGAAACTGATACAATTGGCTCACTAACAAACCTTTCTCGCTTGGAAAAGAAGAGATCAGATCTCTTGTTTCTTGTGTCAGATCTTCATCTCTCAAGTAATCATTAACAGCTGCTGATGATGATGAAGACATTGTTGAAGAGAATGGATCAATCTTGAAAAATGTTGGAAACGGTGAGATGTTTGCTTTATTTGCATTTTATGAGGGTAACGCTTGTGTGCTATATATAATATGAATGTTGTGTTGAGTATGAAGTTTACTCTACAAGTAATTAGCACAATACTGTACTTTGATGGAATAATAGTCAACATGCTTGAAGAGCACGTAGAAAGATATTTAAAGAAGAAAAAACAAGAGAGAAAGAATATCACGGTTCTACTATAATATAGTCAAAGATAAGCGTCAAAATATTTTAGGCAGATGTTTTAATCTTGTTTGTTGTCTTGTCGATGCACTGTGGGATAACTTGTGATGGGCCAAAATCTCATGGATTATGAAAGATCAGCTCAAAACTCAAATGAACCAAGACATGATCCAAAACAGAACAAGCCAGTTTGGTCCATCATCACAAGTTCACAACAATCCTAAATGAAAAAGCTCATTACATAGAACAAAGTTTTAATCTGATTCTTAGCAACTGAATCTAAGGGAAGAACCAATTAGTTTCTCTCTGTTGGGCTAAATCATTATGATAAACGAGATCAGGGATTTAGGCGTTGAATCTTTAAATTGAGAATGTTTTGATCCAAAACAAAAATAATTGATGAGGTTTTACATTAAAATCCCTTCACGTACATATCCTGCTTTTCAAGTAAAATATAGATACTGTAGAAAAGATCATTTTTTGTGTTAAATTTATTAGTTTCTAAATCCTAACAACAGCTCTCACACCACACACTTATGTTAATTTTAGTCTCATAGGTACAACATAATTTTTTGTTAACTTTTCTTTTTCTTTGTCCATTTAGGATTATGATAATACATATACATCTAAACAAAAATAAAAAATGAGGGCCCATAAAGTGAGGACCTATTCAAAAATTTCAAATGTGGTTCCATTTAAAAGTTTCAAATATATGTGTCCATGTCCGGCTCTATATCAAACACTATTAAAAGTAGCAAATGAAGCCATATTAGACTGCCATATCGATAGAAATATTCATCCAATGAGAGTGGTTAAAACAACCACGTCATTTTGGTTTGCACCTTACAAACCGGTTTCAATTTAGGTTCTGATCAAAATTCGGATATCACGGTTAAAACAGGTTTGGTCTTAAGTCGGCAAACCTAATCTGATTTCCAAACACTCCAGATCGTCTCTCACCTTTCGACTCCCTCCTCTGCGAGTACCTCTCTTCAGTTTCTCCCATTATTCTTACCCACTCTCTGTTTAATCAATATCTTTCTTCAATCCAATCAATCCTTCAGTTCTTACATTCAATGGATTCCACCCTTCATCTTCCTCTCCATCTTCGTATTTATAGATCTCCCCCTTACCATATGTTTCGATTGCACTTACTAGAGTCTCTACTCTCTCTCCAAACATTCCGATGGAATCCAAAGCGAATTCGTCACTCTCTACCGGCGAGAAGACCAACAAGAAGATTCTCTCATCCTCCGGGAGTGCTAAAAAAACGGGGATTTCTTCTGCTTCCTCCGCGGTTGTCCTAGGCAAGGCTTCTGTTTTGTCTTCCACTCCGGTGACACCAACAGCTGCTACGGCTCTCCAACCCCCCACTGCCGATCAAATGATTTCTGCTTCCTCCGCGGTTGTCCTCAAGCCTCACGGGAAGGCTCATGTTTCGTCTTCCACCCCAGTGACACCAACAGCTGCTCCGGCTCTCCAACCCCCCCCCCCTTGCAGATCAAGTTATGTTTTTTAGAGACATTACTCTTGGTCCACATGAAGCGTCTTTGAGGTTTCTCCTGATACACTTCTGGTAGGCTAGAAATCCGAGATCGAAAACCCTCATTGGACAGGAGATGCTCCTTATCGACGAAGAGGTACATCTAGGGCTCTTATTATTTCTAACTAATTCTTAATTGTTACTCGATTTGTATGATATTTAGCTAATCTATCATTTTAAATGAATTACAGGGGTCGGTTTTCCAAGGCTTTGTACCAGCTGGACGGGTTGGGACATATTGTCTGGTCGCGGGTTCTGTTTACAACTTGACAAACTTCTTTGGTTCCAGGAACAAAGAGATGTACCGGGTTGCTGATCATCAAGCAACGGTGACATTCTCATGGAATTTGATTGTTCCTCGAGAACCATCCTGTTCCCATTGATGAGGATAGGTTCAGGTTACATAGCGTGGAGGAGTTTGAGGAAAACTGTGACGCCAAGGTAGACCTCTATGGTAAGTTCCTAGATGTACCTCTTTTTACATATATAATTTTGAGTATTTACATTTAATATCTCCTACACCGATATATGTTAGCTAATTCAAGTTTTTATAATTTGTAAACAGCCAATAAGCATCTTACATAGTCGTCTAATATTTAGGGTGTTAAATTTAAATGTGTCTTGCCTTGATTTTCATATGTCAGATTTCCTAGGCCACATGAAGCTTGTGAACGAGAAGACGATCACTGAGCATACTGTACTTGATGAGTTTGACATTGGTGTAAAGCGACATCTTTGTGCTCATGTCCAGACACACGAGTAGGTTCACCCTTTTTTAAAGTGTTTCTTTCCAGTGTGTGTCGTCCTAAGCCACTGTGTTTAATCTTGTGCAGTGGTCCAGTTGTGAAGGTCTACTTATGGGACCAGGCTGCAGCCGATTTCTGCCAGTAATTCAATACCTCCGGAGTCAAACCAAGTGTCTTTCTGGTCACTACTCTGAACCCTAAACGACTTGGAGGTTAGTATTAGAGAGATTTAAATAATATTGTCATGAGAATAACATTAGACGCTTAGTTTTGGAGACTACTATTTGTGTTTATATAAAAATACAATTCTTTTTTACTCTAATATGAATAAGTTTAAGAAAGAATGAGATAATAGTTTACTGGAGACTATAACTATTTTAAAAAAAAATAATCAGAGCAATGAGTTACTAATAAAATATTGTCTTTGCGTTATGGATTTTCCAGTTTTATTGCTTCCTAATAGAATCTCAACTGATTGCATCCATTTTATTATTAGTAGCTGAATGTTTCCTTTTCATTTAAAGAAGTTTTGGGTGTTAATCAATTCACATGTATTGATCAGGAACACTTTGCCTCATTTCAATGGCATCATCACGAGTCTTTATGGACTCGGACGTCGGGCCTACAAGGGACTATCTAGAGTGGTATGCAACATCGTGTTTACATATATTTATGTGCTGTTTTCCAGCGTTTTATGTAACTCGATGTTAACCTATTGATGACTTAACATTTATGTCAGGCTGAGCTCTAACGCTGAAATTGCCAATAAGATTGATGCTGAGATTGTGACTAAACCTGAGACATTGAGCCTAAAGGAGATATTCCCTTACATTAAGCAGGAGTCGGCTAAGGTACAAGTGTATATTGAGATGCGTTTATGTGTTTATTAATTTTAGTTAACTTATCACAATGTCTATGTGGCTTGGTTTGAATGCACAGTTACCATAGACGATATTGTTCAGGGATCACCTTGGTATTACATTTCATGTTGTGCGTGTAATAGTAAGGCCATCAAAGGACCTTCTTCACTGTTTTGTAACAATAACAAGTGTGAGAAGAGACAAGTTCCCGGCGTTCCAAAGTAAGTGGTTCTCACATAGCTTGATACTCTATTTTTGGCGATAATCAGACATAATTTTATTTCATTGCAGATACCTCACCAAGATTTCTGTTTATGACAAGAGTGAGCAAGCAGTTTTCGCCATACTTGGTGATGCTGGGAAAGTGTTGACAGGGAAGCCTGCATCAGAATTAGTGACCTGCTATTTTGAGGTAATTTCTGAGCTACTGACATATAGCTACAATTATTTTAGCTCACATAGAGACAACTCTGATGATAGGCTAATGAGGACGTTGGAGCTGACCATTGCGTCCCAGTTCCTCAAGCTTTGCTTGGTGCAATAGGGAAGACTTTCAAATTCATTGTGAAGATTTCGGACCACAATTTGACAGGGAAGATTCAGTCATTGACTGTCACTAAGATACTTCCACCTGATGCTCCCAATGCATGCTTGGAAGATGAGTGTGTTACAGAAACAGCTGATGATGATTTGAAGGCTGGAAGTGGTGGAGATGGTGCTTCTGTAGGTGCTGAAGGATCTGCAGGAAATAAGGTTAGAAAAGCTTCTGATGATCTTGATTCAGATGCACCAAAGAGCACCAAGAGTGGCTAAAACAACTTCAACCTATCCTTCTAAGCAGTGACTGTCGTTGCTGCATTTTGTTTTCTGTTTTTGTTTTTGGACAAGTGACTTTGGTTTCTTTTTATTTTCTTTATATTGCAATTTTTTAGTCTTTTGTCTTCCACAGACAACTTTTGTTGGTTGGAGACTAATTATATTTCGGTGATTTCTGCACTATCTTTCTTTATTAAAGACTCCTACAATCCTCTGTTCTTGAAAGCTATCTTATGTGTGTGTAAACACACATAACATGTTATTAATCCGTTGTTTTATGTATCCTACTGCTTCCTATGTAAATAAGGTTTTCCTCTCATGTTACAGCACCTATGGACAACAATTTTAATCAATTTATAAGAAACCACTATCAATATTTAGCCGGAGTTAGGAAAATATGTTGTCCATATACATGTATATAATATACGAATATTCCGTATGTTTCAGGTATATATTACAGATGGCGAAATCCTTACAAAACAAAAATAGGTAAGTCAATCTATTCTTGAAAGCTATCTTATGTCAAAAACTAATCAGACGCGACAGAAACAACATCAAAAATAACAAGAGACTATTGTCTGGAGGTAGACATTAACTTAAGAGTGATCGATTAAATAGATTTGAGTTCATTCATAGAACAAACTTGAGGAACAAGAAAGCGACAACAGATTCTGAAGTTCCAGACTCAGCCACCACTATCAGAGATTACAACCCTTTCTTATCTTCATCTCCTCATGAGATTTGTTGAGAAAATCCATTTGCCATACGGATTTTTACGTAGATTAGAGTGAGGCCGTATGACT